GGCATTGGGGTTTAACAGCATCCTGGAAATTGGCAATGTGTCATCATTTTCCTTTGGTTTTTCCATCAGTCTGTGCTTCTGGACTCTTTGTGGCCAATGTAAATCATATGGGACAAATGATAAGATATGCGGGTCTTAGGTTGTATCCCCTGCACACTCACATACGCAGGCACATGGGCATTCTTGCGTAAAGGCTTTGTCAAAGGAGCAGTCTCAGGGAAACCTGCAGGAAGCAAGAGGAGCCGGGGAGGCAGAGCAAGAAGCCAGGTACTGAGCCCTTGGACAGCTAGGGAAGGAGGGGCACCACAGAGCTGTTCTGTGATGGGACAAGTGAGAGAGGTATCCTTTAGTGTCTCTGGGAATGGAGGTTCCCAAATCCAAGGGCAAAGCCCTGGAAAAGGGGGCAACTGTGAGCTCCTCATGGCCAACACTCACTCAGCTGGGGCTGGGGGTGGGGTGAGTGCTCCAACCAGCAAAGGGCATCTGTGCAGGGACCAACAACGTCCATCACAGGGAGGACTCAGACGTGCAAACCCAAGTTCTCAGTTTGTACCTCTCATATGTGTGACGAAATTTCTGGTTTCTAGTTTTTAAACAGTGATCTCAAAGTCCACTGGGACTAGAAATGGGATAAACAAGCAGAACTTTAGCCCTCGCCCTGATTTTCTTTTATTTATTTTATAAATGGATTTTCAGGTAAGATGATAGCCGAACAGTTAGCTAATTAAAAAAAATTAAATCCTTTGATGTACCAGCACCTTGATGGCTGAGTCCTTGTCAAGAACAAATGAATGAAAATTTAATACTCATTTCTTAAATTAAATTAAATAAAATATCCATTTAATTCTTACAGCAGTCTTATTAAAAAAATCAAAGCAGGCATTGGCTTCCACACTTCCATGGGAAAGAAACACAGTGTCAGAGGCTTGACCAGACTCATGCGGATCACCTGTGTGCACCAAGGTATCTGTGGTATGTTGTGAGCAAACACCCCTACTCTCTACCTCTAAAGAGGTGCCCAGAAGTAAATAGCAGACAGGACTTGGAAAATTGGAGTACCTCATGCAGCAAACAATCAACAAATATAAAGTTAGCAATTTGGTATAAAATGAAAATAAAAACTCCTGTTAGACTTGACAGCACCTTCATGACTTGTGTGCAGGACAGATGTCTGTTGGTTCTCAACCCTAACTGTGATGCAATGTCCTCTTTTACAAGATTCTTTGATCTGGTGGATTTGTCTCCCATCCCTTTCCTCCGGCCCTAAATTTCCAAGCATTTAAAATCCAGAATCTACTCTCAGGATGTCCACACCATGTCCCAGCAAGAAGAGCTGAGACAACTACATAGGCCACTAGCTAAGCACGATTCCTGTTTTCTTTTCTCGAGAGTTGCCCTTCCTGTCCCCCAGGCCACACAAGAGAAGGAGGAAGCAGAGCTCTAGGGTCAGAATCTGAACTTGAGTTGAAAACAGGAAATTAAAAAATGTAGGTCTCTGCAGAAGGGTCAGTGCAGTGAGAGCAGCCTTGGTGAGCAGACTCCTCAGGAGGCCTGAGCCACCTGCTTCCTGTGCAGGAGCACTTCAAAAAGTTCATGGAAAATTGGAATTAAAAAAAAGTTTATTGTGGTGCAAGAAAATTTTGAAGTCCATGCATTTTCCACTAACTTTTTGAAAATCTCTCTTATAATCCAGAAGATACTTAGGGGTGAGCAGTGTCACTCCTGGGGCAAATGATTGCCCGTCTGGTGTGTAATTTCACAAAAATCAGAAAACTCTCCCATCCTAAAACCTCACCAATTAGAGGTTCCTTTGGGGTTAATTACTCTCTTTTTAAAAATCTGTCTTGGAAGACTAGTTCAAGTCCTGGCTACACAGCTTCTGATGCAGCTTCCTGCAAATGCATCTGGGTAAGCATCTCAAGACAGCCCGGAGACTTGGGCCGCTACAACCCAGGTAGGAGACTCAGATGGAGTTCCTGGCTCCAGGTTTCAGCTTGGCCCAGACCTGGTTATGGCACCCATTTGGGATATGAGCCCAAATGAAAGGAAATGGAGGATCTCGATTCTCTCTCTCTCTCCTTTCCCCTGCCCTCCTTTGTCGCTCCCCATCTTCGTGGAGGAACCACACAGGACCCTGCGCTGTTCTTTTGTCTGCTCGGCCCTCCCCGGGTTTGCTGCTGGTTCTTCCCGGGTTGGCTACCGACCCTTCCACCTCCATGGAAGGGCGGTTCCCCCTAGCCACTTTCCCCACTTCCGCGGGGGAGCGGCACACCGCCGGCCGGCTCTCTCGGGGGCTGCTCAGATGTTCCTCAGGTGTTCCCCTTAGATGTTCCTGGTGCATGTTGTCTCTCTCTTCCTTTATAGTCCTCTTCCGCCAATCCCAACTCTGCTACCCACACGCCGAGTACGCTGCTCTCCTCCAATCAGGAGCAGCTCCTGCTGTTTATTGGTTGAACTGGAGGCAGCTGTGTAGAAGCTGTTTCCTCCTCTCCCAGCGCCATATTGTGGGAGAGCAGATGCATAGAATAAGTCTTAATTCCAGTAACAGTCTAGTCCGAGTTGCTCCCCACACTCCTTCACTCTGCCTTTCAAATAAATACATTTTTTGAAATGTATTTTTGAAATTTGTTGTTAGAGAGGAAAAATAAGATAGCAATTTCATGGCACTGCAATTGCAAAATGCAGACAAACGTAGGTTTTTGAACCTACAGGGTGAAGCAAACAGGAAAATTGGGATTTTACACCTTGCTCAAGAAAAAGAAAGAATAAGAAAAGAACGCTTGTCAACTTAGCAACCTCAGGACGGACACATTGAACAGTAGTTAAGATACAGCTTAGAATACCCACATTCAGCTTTCCAGCTATCTTCCTGCTAATGTGCCCCCTGGGAGGCAGCAGGTGATGGCTCAAGTGCTTGGGCCCCTGCCACCCACATGGGAGACCTGGATGGAGTTCCTGGCTCCTGGGTTTTCCTGGCCTATATCTAGCTGTTGTAGGCGTTTGGAAAGTCAAACAGTAGAGGGAATCTCTCTCTCTCTCTCTCTGTCTGTCTGTCTCTATCTATATCCCTCTCTGCCCTTCAAAAAAAATGAAATGAAAACAAATTAATATTAAAACATTGAACATGATTTTTAAAATTAGCAATCTCACATGCTAAAATCTCACCTAAAAACAGTGGTAGAGAAATCCTCACTACACTCTATAATATGAGTCTTTCACTACTCACACCAAGGAAGAAAGCAAAAGATGCAAAAGCAGACAGTCAGAGAAAGCAGTATGATGGGTACTACTTGGTTCTCTTCTAACAGAGATTCGAGACTTACCAAGTAGGTGCGTATGTGAAACAGGGAGAGATTGCTATAAAATAGGAGCTCATTAGCATGTCTCACAGTCCCATCAGGGCCATTACAAATGCCCCACAAGTGCACTGAATCTGATCAAAACACCTGTTTTAATTTTTAGTTAAGAAATTAAAGTATGGGATGGGCATTTGACACAGGGGTTAAGACATCACTTTGAATGCCCACCTCCTACTTCAGAAAGCTTAGGTTCGAGTCTTAGCTCCACTCCAGATTTCAGCTTCCTGTTAATGTGCACTCTGGGAGGCAGCCGGTGATGACCCAAGTGGGTTCTGCCACCCACATGGGAGACCTGGATTGATTTCCTAGATCCTGGCTTTGTCCTGGCCCATCCCTGGCAGTCATAGGCATGCAGGCATCTGGAGAGTGAATTAATCAATGGGAAATATCTCTCTCTCTCTCTCTCTCCCTCTCTTTCTTCCCCCTGGCAAATGAATAAAATAAATAAATATTTTAAAAGAAAGATTGATATATAACTTTGGAAAGGCACTATTTTAATTCAATCAGGAAAACCAGGTTTAAAGATTTTTTTCTGCCCTTCTGTAACTGGCTAACTCTGGGCATCTCACTTATACTCTCTGAATAACAAATTTCACAAAAGAAAATGAGGTAATAACACCTGACTGATAGGGCAGTGAGGACAAAGTTGAGTTAGATAACCTATCCAAAGATGCTGTAAAACTCTAGGACCTTAGCAAACTTTCAACAAACAGTAGGTTTTTTTGCATTTGGGCATTGAGAGAGCAGCCCATAGGCAAGGGTCACAGACATTAGAAAAAACTCTATTGGGTTAATTACACAGATGAATGCAGAAAGATTTCAGTGTGGCTAAGCCCCTGAACTACCCTGGAGAAATTCAGGTGTCAAGGCCAGAAGTTCTGAGAAGGTTGGAGAGAGAAGTTCTCTAGCACATGCACGTGAGGCTCCCAAGGAACAGAAGGATCTGGCTTCCTACGGCTTGGAGGAGAATCCATTTAGGTGGAGTCCAGAGAGCCATCCATTCATTCCTCCCCCATCTAAACCCTGCACCAGGCATCACTAGCTTCCACATGAGGGTTGCAGAGGTTTGTAAGGCCTCAGGGAAAGGTCGAGTTCATGAAAAAAATAAGAGAAAAAGCAAATGCAGAAGGTGTGCATTGGAGAGAGGGATTTGGATTGGAAAGTTCAGACCAGATTCCGTTCTCATTCCACTAACTAAAGCAAAAGAGCAATGACCCCAAGCACTGTGGTCAGACTGAGAGCCACATCGTTCACCTGTACATGCCATTGATCCGATTTGAACTGAAGAATGGCCACCTGGCCTAGGTAGAAGTAGATGAAATGTTTGCTTCATTAGTCACAGGACTATGAAGATTCTCCCAACAATACTGTGCCTGAGGGAGTTGCATTTTGTGTCAAATTCCTTGCCTTGAGGAGCAAGTCCTTTCCTTAGTTTTGTACTCCACCGAGTCCTGTGCCGTGTCTTCCATCATGCCTGCATTCTTGATCACAGCCTTGTTATTATACATGGTTACCATGGAGTAGGGATCACCCCTGGAACTGTTTGCAGGGGGAGCTGCTGGCTTGCCACCATCCAAGCAAGAGCTAGGGTTGCATCCAAAACCATGGAGCAGCTAAACACATTTGACCTCTAACCATACAAGTTAATAGGAAAAGACAGCTCTTTTCCGGCTGGAACCATGGAGGGTGCCGAAGAGAAGAAGAAGGTTCCTGCTGTGCCAGAAACCCTGAAGAAAAAGCGGAGGAATTTCGCAGAGCTGAAGATCAAGCGCCTGAGGAAGAAGTTTGCCCAAAAGATGCTTCAAAAAGCAAGGAGGAAGCTTATCTATGAGAAAGCGAAGCACTATCACAAGGAATACAGGCAGATGTACAGAACTGAAATTCAGATGGTGAGGATGGCAAGAAAAGCTGGAAACTTCTACGTACCTGCAGAACCCAAGTTGGCATTTGTCATCAGGATCAGAGGTATCAATGGTGTGAGCCCCAAAGTCCGAAAAGTGCTGCAGCTTCTTCGCCTTCGCCAGATCTTCAATGGCACCTTTGTTAAGCTCAACAAGGCCTCCATTAACATGCTGAGGATTGTGGAGCCATATATTGCATGGGGGTACCCAAATTTGAAGTCAGTAAATGAACTAATTTACCAACGTGGCTATGGCAAAATCAATAAGAAGCGAATCGCTTTGACAGATAACACTCTGATTGCCCGCTCTCTTGGTAAATACAATATCATCTGCATGGAGGATCTGATTCATGAGATCTACACTGTGGGGAAACACTTCAAGGAAGCAAATAACTTCCTGTGGCCCTTCAAGTTATCTTCTCCCTGAGGTGGGATGAAGAAAAAGACCACCCATTTTGTAGAGGGTGGGGATGCTGGCAACAGGGAAGACCAAATCAACAGACTTATTAGAAGGATAAACTAAGGTGTCTCCTATGGTATTTTTGTAATCTGGTCAGATAATAAACGGCAACTACAGTCAAATTGAAATAAACTGTTGTATTGGTGAAAAAAAAAATAGGAAAAGACAAAGTGGCAGGCATAGTCAGCAGAGCTGTCCTTGGGACGGAGCAGAGGTCCTGGGATGACTCTGTCACTGCTGGGACAACAGGGCTCATACATCAAACATCAAAACTCAGTAAAATGAGGCCGGCTCCATGGCTCACTAGGCTAATCCTCCGCCTGCGGTGCCGGCACCCTGGGTTCTAGTCCCAGTTGCTCCTCTTCCAGTCCAGCTCTCTGCTGTGGCCCGGGAAGGCAGTAGAGGATGGCCCAAGTGCTTGGGTCCTGCACCCACATGGGAGACCAGGAGGAAGCACCTGGCTCCTGGCTTCGGATCAGCGCAGCGTGCTGGCCGCAGTGCACCAGCCGTAGCGGCCATTTGGGGGGTGAACCAACGGCAAAAAGAAGACCTTTCTGTCTCTCTCTCTCTCTCTAACTCTGCTTGTCAAAAAAATAAATAAATAAATAAATAAATAAATAAAAACATAAAAATAAATAAAATTTAAAAAAATCAGTAAAATGAGACAGGAAGGAAAAAGGAAGACTAACCCTGCAGGTTATTCAATTTCAAATTTCAGCATCTAGTGCTTTGTCAACAGCCAGAGTTAAAACAAAACAAAGGTTCCTGTTACACGGAACCCTGAGGATCTCTGTCCCTCTCCAGCTTCTCCACCAGAATTCCAGTCATCACTCGATTGATCAAAATACAAATTCACATGTTTTTTGAATGATTAAAATCCCAAAGTTAACCACTCAAACTGCAAAAAGAACTCTCCTTGGGGAGTCTTTTTAAAGGAAGAATTAGAAAAAAAACTCATAAAATGTATTTTAAGGACTAAAGCTAACAACTTGGGTGTTGGTTCTAGAAAAAGATAACTGGATTTGCTATGAAAATCATGAGTTCAGCATTTAGCCCTTTCAGTAAAAAAGAAGAGAAGACTGGGCAAGAATAGACAACATGTTCGTCCTGGTCTTTTTTTTTTTTTTTTTTTTTTAACAGGCAGAGTGGACAGTGAGAGAGAGAGACAGGGAGAAAGATCTTCCTTTGCCATTGGTTCACCCTCCAATGGCCGTTGCGGCTGGTGCACCGCATTGATCTGAAGCCAGGAGCCAGGTGCTTCTCCTGGTCTCCCATGCGAGTGCAGGGCCCAAGCACTTGGGCCATCTTCCACTGCACTCCCGGGCCACAGCAGAGAGCTGGACTGGAAGAGGAGCAACCGGGACAGAATCCGGCGCCCCAACTGGGACTAGAACCCAGGGTGCCAGCGCCGCAGGCGGAGGATTAGCCTATTGAGCCGCATCCTGGTCTTTAGCTCTTCCCTAAACAGAACCTGCATCTGAAATCATTAGATGTCAAAAATGAAAACCACCTTGTAGGTCTGTGCTTGGTGAATGGTGTCCTTGAGCCTACCTTCCTGCCCAGAACTACAGTGTGTGTGTGTGTGTGTGTGCACGTGTGTCCAGAAAGAGAAGAGGCTGGGAATGACTGTATTCAGGGCTTCCCTGTTTATTCCGTACACTGGAGAGCAACATACAAGCATGTAGAATGGGGTAGGGCCTGGGGAGTTGGGGGAAGGCACGATGGGGAGGGAAGTAGTGTGGAAAGGAAAAGACTAAAATTTCTCTGAGTACATAAAGCAAAGCTTCCTAGTGATCTCCTGCCCTACTGACAATCACCCCAGCTTGATCAGCAGCGACAAGTAGCCAGTTCTGACCCCACAAAGCGAAACTGCAGCCTATTAACGCTAATCAAATGTCTTCCCCTGCAGAATCCGCTCGTAAGAGAGTTAAATCATGGGTGGACTTTGCTATGACCTCACCTCCCTGGCTGTTTTATGAGCTTTAGGTTAGCAGATAGTCAGGCACCAGAAGAGTGATAATGATGCACAGTCAGGCCCTAGGCTAGATTGGCACTAAATGACCCACATAGATTTCTCAGAAACACGAACTAGATCCAAACCACTGGCATTTAACCTGATAATTTAGGAAAGTGAGACGTTTATTGAAGGCAGAGCTTTTTTTAATTTTTGACAGGCAGAGTGGACAGTAAGAGAGAGAGACAGAGAGAAAGGTCTTCCTTTTGCCGTTGGTTCACCCTCCAATGGCTGCCGTGGCTGGCGCACTGCGGCCGGCGCATCGCGCTGATCCAAAGGCAGGAGCCAGGTGCTTCTCCTGGTCTCCCATGGGGTGCAGGGCCCAAGCACTTGGGCCATCCTCCACTGCACTCCCTGGCCACAGCAGAGAGCTGGCCTGGAAGAGGGGCAACCGGGACAGAATCTGGCGCCCCAACCGGGACTAGAACCCAGTGTGCCGGCGCCGCAAGGCGGAGGATTAGCCTATTGAGCCATGGCGCTGGGAAGGCAGAACTTTTAAAAACTCAAAAACCCCTTTGTAATTTGCCTACTGTAATACTGCATATATTTACTGCAGTCTCAAGTTTTTGTTTGATTTTAGCTAATTGCACGTCCGTTCATTTGAAAATACAGGTAACTGGGGCCGGTGCTATGGTGTAGCAGGTAAAGCTGGTGCCTATAGTGCTGGCATCCCATACAGGCAGCGGTTCAAGTCCCAGCTGCTCCACTTCCAGTCCAGCTGTCTGCTATGGCCTGGGAAAGCAGTAAAAGATTGCCCAAGTCCTTGGGCCCCTGCATCTGCGTGGGAGACCTGAAAGAGGCTCCTGGCTTCAGATCAGCTCAACTCCAGCCATTGTGGCCATCTGGGGAGTAAACCAGTGGATGGAAGACCTCTTTCTCTCTCTCTCTCTCTCTCTCTCTCTCTCTCTCTCTCTCTCCTTCCACCTCTCTGTAACTCTTCCTTTCAAATAAATAAAATAAATCTTTAAAAAAAAAAAAACAGCTAATTTTGAGTTCACTACAAAATCCAACATGTGAAAAATCCAAACATAAATTAGAGTGATTTCTTACAAGAGAGAAGTTATTTCTCTACTTCACCAAAATATTAAGTTTTTATATTAGTTTTCTCTTATACATCTTAGTCTTAAAATGTGTTCTTATGCATTTTAACCTTAACTTTATATACTGAACCATGGTAAGTTTACAGTTACAATTCTTCCAAGTCCTTTAAGAATTTTCAGTCAGGTTCTGACACAGATGTTTCCACACAGAGCTGGACTAGGAGATTATCTAGTATTCTCTTTCTAAACTGAGAATTTTAAAGAGGGTGAACCAAATTTATAACTCTTCCATCTGTGCATGAATCCATGGACAATCTCTTCTTTCAGTTTTATAGTAAATTTGGTTTTTTTTTTTAGATTTATTTTATTTATTTCAAAGAGTTACAGGGAGAGGTAGAGACAGAGAGAGAGGTCTTCCATCCGCTGTTCACCGATCCCAAGCCAGGAGTCAGGAGCTTTTTCCAGGTCTCCCACGTGGGTGCAGAGGCCCAAAGACTTGGGCCATCTTCTACTGCTTTCCCAGGCCATAGCAGAGAGCTGGATTGGGAGAGGAGCAGCCGGGACTAGAACCGGTTATCATATGGGATGCCGATGCTTCAGGCCAGGGCTTTAACCCGCTGCGCCACAGTGCCGGCCCCTTACAGTAAATTTTAACAGTGATAGCATGTTGATTTTCTCTGAATTTTTCACACTGATTTCTCTTGCATACAGTAAGATATTTCCATTACTTATAAAAATGAGTACAAAGAGCATGAAGAGCATTGATAAAGCAGACGTCTGTCTGCCTTCTTCTCCTCCCAGAGGCACAGGGTAATTCAGGTTTGATTTGGGGCCACTTCTCAGTGATTGGATTCTGCATGGAGTGGCAGGAATTGGTACACTTTCAGACCATTCATTGCTACTTTGTTCATTAGGACTGACACATCAGCACATTAGAAATTGAACTGAGTAGTAGTTTTGGCATGTCGCACTTCTGTGCCAACAGATGACTGAGGTCAATGGATAATCATTCCTGTTCTAATGACCACACAGATTTTCTGTCATAGAAATGGAGACTTTAGTATTTCCAGGAGAAAAGATGGCAAATATGGGGATGCTTAATTACTCTCATTTTCTGGGAGTAATTAATAACTCTTGTCATCTTTTGAAATATCTTAGAAATGGGTCTGGGAAACAATCTTTTCTGTTAGCACCTATTACGCAGTTTGTTGCAATGTGTTTAGTATTGCAAATACAGTGATGATGGTTCTTAATTAATCCAAAGTACTTCATGGGATAATAAAGAACCCTTGTTCTTTTCTGGGACTTTACTGATTAATTCAATGAGATAATTGCCTTTTAATTCTTTTAAATATGGTGATGTAATTTGTATTCCTTTGGAAACACAGCCTAAGGCAAATACTTGGTATGAGGAGCTTATTTAAAAGTTTCTTTCCGGGGTTAAGGCAAGGAGAGCTAACAAGGACAAGCTAACATAATGATGCATGACTTAGGTCCCTGCCACAGTTAAGGGTTGAGCAATTCTTCTTGGACATCTAAGGACTGTATACAGTTTTTCCCTAAGTGGCTCACCTGAAAGAGGAAAGATAGAGCAAACATTTTGAACCCTTTACTCCAAGACTAACTCCTGGGAGCTTGAACTCCCTTGAACATGTGGTCTGTGGTGGAATGAGAGGGCCATGCCAAGGTAGCCACTGGCAAGCGAGCATTAATTACTCAGGAATGGCTTTGGAAACTGCCTGGCAACAGGCTGTGATTGGATGGCTTTGGAAACTGCCTGGCAGGCTGTGATTGGATGGGGCATAGACCGCCCCTTGAGCAGATTGGCTGGTCTTGGCTATATAAGACGTAGTTTCAACTGAAATAAACGAGTCTGCGGGCTGCTCGCCTCAAGCCTGCTTTCACCGGACTCCCGGAGTCTGTGTGGTGACTCCGCGCCTCTTGCCCCTACCACGCTCCTCCTCTCAGAAAGGAATCCACTGCAACATTGTTGAGAAATCAACGGCAACAGTGGTCTGCAGGTACAACCAAAGAAGTTGCCAGAGCATAGCAAATGGAACTGGGCAGAATGAGGAAAGACGAAAAGACTGCAGCAACTAGGT